CCGTGGCATGGTGAACTTCGTGTGATGATGCTTCGTTTGCTTTTTTTTTTCTTTTGAGATAATACTTGATTTTCATTCAGATGGATGTCAAATTCCCTGTGTAGCCCAGGCTGGCTTCACACTTAAAACCCTCATGTCTTCCTAAACTGGACAGTGACAAGGCTACTTCTCATCTCTCTAAAATATGTGCATAGATGTATACATAAACACACATTTAAAAATTAAAAAGCTGTCTTCAAGGGCTAGAGCTGTGTATGCGTTCCCGTTGCTCCTTACAGGATCATAGCACTGTTGTTTCTGTTTAGTTCATGAATCTTGTCTAAAGGAAATCACTAGTTAACACAAACCAGTGATGGAGTTTGCCCATATGTGCATTTGACTGTGCTATACCTGTACCGCAAAACTGACTAGAAAATCAAAGTATTAGTTGTTCAAGGGGAAGTATTTTTTTTTTAAATCAGATGTAATGAAGGTCAATTTTTAAACTGATACAGGGGACATTGATAAGCATGAATTATGTTTAAATTATTAGATGACGGATTGTGTTTTTTTTTTTTAAATAAAGAAATAGTTGTGGGAAAGATTGGTCATTTTAACGATGATTTAATGGACAGATCTGGTGACTAATCTCCTAGAGATGAATCCTGTGCCATGCATTAAATATTATGGGGAGATGTATCTATAGTTAAAACCTTCCTTAATAGACATCTGTACCACTGGACTCCTTCTGTTCTGCTTGGGGGAAGTCAGACTATTCCATGACCAGTTACCCTCGTGGGCATTGTTGCTCATTGACCCCTGGTCTGTCAGTCACTGGGAGCTGTGTAGAAAACATAGCTTCTGAGATGGTCGTCCATCACCAGGCAGAATTCTGAGGGAGAAATGATTCAAGGCATTGGGAGTAGCTGCCTAGCAGACCACAGTTAAGTTGCTTCTCTCCTGGGGCATAGGGAGGGAGATAAGCTTGTGGGAACCCTACAAAGCATGCCCCGGCTAGAGCCAGAAGGTGGCAGGCATCCAGAGTAGATACTGCATAATCCAGATGATCTAGTCTATCCTTGTTGCTGTCTGGTTTATTTAGGAAGGAAAGCCAGAGCAGAGAAATGACTTCCGCACATGTAACTAGTGCAGTTCGAGTTGAGCCAGGATGCCCGGACAGGAACATGCTGAGCAAGCACTCCTCCCCTGGCTCTATCCCTAGCTACCAAGGGATGTGTGCAACCCAGGCTAACCTTAATCTGGATATGTGGCTGAGGCTGGCCTTGAACCCTTGACTTTTCTTCCTCTACTTCCCAAATGCTGGAGTTAGAGGCCTGCATTACCATGCAGAAAGTTTTTTTTTTTTTAATGGAAGTAGATAAATAAAAATGCAAGCTGCAACCCCCCTCACTGGCTGCAGCACTTGGGAGAATGGACCCTCCGCCTCCCATGGGCGGCACAGTAGAGTTAATCCAGTAGACAGGTGCCTTCGTGAGCCAGCCCTGAGAGTATGAGAGGGGCATAGCTGGTACTACCTCCCTCATCTCTGGTGTGGTGGTAGGGTCAAGGAAAAGATGCCCTCCCCCTACCACCTCCAGCTGCCAAGGGAGCTGACCCTCCCCCTTACCAGCTGCAGTACTCAGGAAAGTAGACTGCACTCTCCTGGACAGCACAGTATAGCCGACCCTGTTGGCAGAGATGTGGGGGAGCCAGTCCTGAAGCAGTGAGGTTGGAAGAGTTGTCCCCGTTACTCATCCATCTTGCATCATGGGGAAGAGATGCCTGCCTTTCTCCCATCAACATCTGAGGCAGATTTATTTTATTTACATGAGGACTTTATCTGCACGTATGCCTTTATGCCAGAAGAGGGTATCAGATCCTACTAGAGGTGGTTAGAAGCTACCATGTGGTTGCTGGGAATTGAACTCAGGACCTTTGGAAGAGCATCTATCCCTCCAGCCCTACATTATCTTTCCTTTAAGATTTTATTTAGTAGCCGGGCAGTGGTGGCGCACGCCTTTAATCCCAGCACTTGGGAGGCAGAGGCAGGCGGATCTCTGTGAGTTCGAAACCAGCCTGGTCTACAAGAGCTCGTTCCAGGACAGGCTCCAAAACCACAGAGAAACCCTGTCTCGAAAAACAAAAAAAAAAAAACAAAAAAAAAAAAAAAAAAAAAGATTTTATTTAGTTATTTATCATCTGTGTATTTATTTATTTTTCAAATGGGACTGAGAATTGAGCTTAGACCTCGCACAGCTAGTCAAGTGCTCTATCACTGTGCTATATAGTCCTCTTTTAAATAATTACATTGCATTTATTTATTGTGGGTAGGTTGTCTTAGCTTTCTATTGCTGTGAAAAGACATCATGACCAAAGCAACTTATGAAAGAAAGCATTAAACGGAGGCTTCCTCCCAGTTTATGACCATCATGGCTGGGAGTGTGTCATCAGGCAGGAAGGCAGGCAGGGTAGCCAAGAGTTACATGTTAAGCCAACAATTATAAAACAGAAAGCTCTAGCTAGGAATGGCTTGGTCTTTGAAATTTCGAAGCCCTGCCCCATGTCACACCTCCTCTTACAAGGCCACACCTCATAATCCTTCTCAAACAGTTCTACCCAACGCAGACCAAGTATTCAAATATATGAGCCTGTGGGGACCATTGGGTTCACACGACACAGCATGAGTGTAGAGGTCAGAAGACACTGACAAGCGTTGTGTGTCCGTGTCTGTTCCCGCTCGTCCCACCCCCACCTCTACGGAGCTATCTCCTCACCATTTTCCCACCCATGTTTTACTATCTATTTTTTGAAATTAAAAAAAAAGCTTTCATGTGTGTGGATGTTTTGCTTACGTGTGTATCTGTGTTCAATGTGAGGGTGCATAGTGCCTGCAGAGACTGTAAGAGGACTTAAAATTCCCTGGAACTGGAGTTACAAATGGTTAACTGCCATGTGGGTGCTGGGAATCAAACCCAGGTTTCTGAAAGAACATCTCTCCAGCCCTCCCACCAACGTGTGTGTGTGTGTGTGTGTGTGTGTGTGTGTGTGTGTGTGTGTGAGAGAGAGAGAGAGAGAGAGAGAGAGAGACAGACAGACAGACAGACAGACACACACACACACACAGTACACATGTGGAGGTCAGAGAAGAACAATGAACAACCTCAGATGTCTGTTCTTGCCTTCCACCTTGTTTGAACAGTGTCTCCTTCTGGCCCTGGGTACAGTACTCCAGCTGGCTTTCCAGGTGTCCTTCTGTTTCTGCCTCCTTTCTCACCCTAGGAATGCTGCAGTGTCTGACTCTGTAGCTTCTAGGGATCTGAGAGCTCAGGCCCTCACATTGGCACAGCAAGTGCTTTACCTGCTGAGCCATTTCCCCAGTTTGCCAAGACAGTCTCGTGTAGTCCAGGCTCATCCCCCTATGTAGCTGGGGATTGCCCTGAACTCCTGGTCCTCCTGCCTCCATTTCATAATCGCTGGGGTTGCTGGTGTTCTTGACTATGAAGAAAGCTTCCTAATGCAGGCAGATTGGGGGAAGTTTTTTTCAAGTGCAGAATGGGTCTCTACTATAAAGAACATCATCCTTTTCCCTCATTCTAGGGCTAATTTTGTTTCCATAGCAGAAGGTGTTGTCTCCGTCTGTCATTATTTATGGCAATGATGTCAGATACTGCAGAACTGACTTCCTTTGCCAAACCTTAGGTGGGAAATGTAAAGTCTCTTTAAAAAAAGAAAAAAAATCACAGAATTCCTTGGTGGTGTTGCAACTTCAAGATAATTGGTTCCATCTATCTCTTTGCTTCTCCAACCACTGTGACTTAAGAAATACTTCCATTGAGAATCAGGGAATTGGCGTTGTTATGAACACTGCTGAGCCCAGTGATTGAGACCCAGTGTCGTGACCCTCTGTCCTGCTGGCTTGGGTATTAGCTACGGGCAGATGCAGAGCACCCACATCTCTTCCTGGGGACCTTTGGACCTGGTCACCCCATCAGAGCCAATCCCACGCCCTAACCTGCCTTAATCAGAGCCAGTCGGTTGCTCTTGCTTTTGCTGCCCGTGTTAGACATACATAGCATACAGCTTGCTGAAGGCGTCCATGACCCACAGTGCCTCTGCAGACACGGGCTCTTGGACTCACTGAAAGGATTCAGAAAAGGAGATAAATAAATGCTGGGAATTTTTTTCCCATCATTCCACATGAAAGTTTCTGTTCCATATAGCGGCTGACAGCTGTCTTGGTTTTGGCACCATACCAAATCACTGGAGTAATATGAAGCTGTGCTACAGAGTCTCACTTTCTTGGCTAGTCCGTAGGCTGCCTTTCACTGTGTTTGCGGTAGTTTTTCTTGTATACCGAGTCTCGAAAGCTCACTTTCCTGGCTAGTCCCTAGGCTGACTTCCACTGTGTTTGCAATAGTCTCTCTTGTATACCAAGTCAAAGAGACTTAGTCCGTTATCTCTTTGTGCTTAACCATCCATCTAGAAATCAGTGGCTTTAAATAGCCACCATTTTATTTGCTCATGAACATGGTGAGCAGTTTTGACAGATGGATTCTTCGGTCCACTAGTCTGAAGTTGTTCTTGAGGCGCTCAAGAATCCCTGTGGCTTCACTAATATGCGTGACAGTTGGCAGGACCTCTTTACCTGTAGAAGAACAAGGCAAACTCCTCGCCTCAGTTCAGATTTCCAGCTAGGCGGTTCCATGAAGTCCTGGCTGTGGAGAGGCATCATTCATGGCGGCAGGGCTACTCCTGTAAATGACTAAGTATGCAAAACCAGAAAATGTGATGAATGTGCCTCTAATCCCAGCATTCCAGAGGCAGAGGCACGCAGATCTCTGAGGTCAAGGCCAGCCTGGCCTACAGAGTGAGTTTCAGAACAACCAAGTCTAAATAGTGAGACCCTGTCTCTAAAAGGGCAAAACAAACCCAAAACCCCAAGCAAACAAAAGCAGAAAACTCCAGCTTTGTTTCCACCGTGTTCTCAGCGAGTGCTGAATGATGGTGTCGCTCTGTTTCAGACCTCTTTGCTGTGCAAAGCTGCCATCCACGCGGGGATCATCGCAGATGAACTGGGGGGCCACATCAACCTGCTGCAGAGCAAAGGCATCGGTCATTATGAAGGAGTCCTGTCCAATGGTGTGCTCTCCCGGCAGTAAGTACGACAGCATGCCCTGTAGTCAGCTGTGAAAATGTCGGTGATGGGGCTAGGAAGACAGCTCCGCCGTTAAGAGCACTTGTGAGAAGTTCAGTTCCTACATTGGTAGCTCACAACCATCCATGACTTCGGTTCTAGGGTGTCTGATAACCGCTTCTGCACCAGGCATGCACACAGTGCGCAGACATACATTAAGGCAAACCACTCATACTGTTAAGTTTCAAACGCCGGGCAAACAGCTGACATGCCTATTTAACATTATCAAAGGTAGACCTGGCTGCCAGGTTCTCCCAGCATCCCTCAGTCCCTACCTGTTCTAGAGTATGACTGGCTTACCTTGCCCTCCACCCTGAACTCTCCAGCCCAGGGCCTGGGCTGCTCTTCCCCCAGAGGCTCTTCCCTATATAATCCAGACATTTTGGTTACCCTTCCCCTCTTATACCTTTGATCTCCTGGCTGCTGCACTTGGTTCTCCTCTCTCCCCTTTCCTTTCCCCCCTCCCCAGTCTGCACTCTCCCAGATCCCCCCCCCCCCACACACACACACCTCTGAGGATGCTCTCTCCCACAGATCTACAATAACCTTCCTCCTCCACCACACCTAGGAGCAGTCATGTCCTTTTCTTTCCTTTGTTTTCATTCATCACTTAAAAAAATAAGGTAAATAAATCTTTAAGAATGTTCGAGATCTTCAACAGCATTTATAATCTATGTGGAAAATAAATGTAGCAATAAATGGGCACCCTGGTTGTGCCAGCATGAGAGTTAAAATGGCCTGAGCCCCCGTGTGGAGGAGCGCTTCCACTCCCAGCTGAACCTGCGGAAGAGAATGAATGCCGTTTTCTTCCAGGTTTTCATGGTTTCGGTCAATTCCTGAATATCTCCAACTGTACCTACTATCGAAGAGGACAGGAAACCGAAATACATGTTGATCGAACCACTGAGTCTTCTCTGACCTTCAAAGATTTCTAGAGACTGTTTCTTGAGGAGTAAGAAAAAATAATAGCAAGGGCTTGTATTGTGTGTTGGTGTCTCAGTTTACTGCATGGGAGTTTAAGCATGGCCCAGCCCTGCTTAAGTTTTTGTCCTGAGTGCCTTCACCGATGATCTTTCAGATGGAAATGTAAGCCAGATAAACCCTTTCTTCTCCAACTTGCTTTTTGGTCCGAGTATTTTATCAACAGTTGTAGTAACCCTGACTAAGACACTAAGTGTGGGCTATCTTGTTTGGTAGAAATCCTATTACAAGAATGTATTGTGAGCCACCAAGTGGGGGCTGGGAATTGAACTCGGGTCCTCTGGAAGAGTAGCCAGTGCGCTTAACTAGCGAGCCATCTGTCTAGCCTGAACATATACTTTTTTAGATATATATCTACCTCAAACCTTGGAGCATTAAATTTTGCATCCTGCTTGTGGCAGAACTGATTGTTTATACATTGTGCTGTAAACCTTTCAATGTCAACCTGATCTTGACTTTTGAGAATTTGCTGTGTGTGTCTATTGAAGGCCTGATGTTTTTTCAAGAAGATAAAATGCTCTTGCCTAGGGCTGGAGAGATGGGCTCAGGGGTTAAGAGAATTGCCTGCTCTTCCAAAGGTCCGGAGTTCAATTCCCAGCAACCACATGGTGGCTCACAACCATCTGTAATGAGGTCTGGTGCCCTCTTCTGGCCTGCAGGCAGAATATTGTATACATAATAAATAAATAGATAGATAGATAGATAGATAGATAGATAGATAGATGCTCTTGCCTAGACTGCTCCAACGACTTGGCCTATTTTTATATGTGTCTGAATGCTTCATGGTGACCAAGTTTAATGTGTACTGCTTGGATTTTGTTTTACTTTTGAAAAAAACCATTAAAATAGCTGAATTAAAAGTAGGCTTAATTATCTCAATTACACACGTAGCAATTAGACTTAATGCATAAATATAACTTTCACGTGGAAGTTAAATTTGCATACCAACGATGTACATAAATATAAATTATTAACAGCTTGTAGGAAGTTGGCGGTTTATCTTGTACTTAAGTTGTGTGAATTGTCTTGTTTTTGTTTTGGTGGGTGTAGAAAGTCCAGAGTTATAATATTAAGGGCTGTACTTTCTCCTAGCTCTCGTGATTTCTCCCCGATCTTTGTTCTGAGCAGGGAGTTAGCTGGATGTCAAGCCAGTCTCCTCGTCTTGTTTAGATCCCAAATCTTCAGGGAGCAACTGTTTTGATCTGTGATGTTTTGCCCTTGGGGAAGCACTGTACATTCGGTCATTGAACTTGTGTTCCCACACATGGTTGTTTAGTGTCCGGGGGAAAAACGGAGAAGGAAGCATTGCAGCTGAGGAAGAGGGGGTCCCTAAAGTAAATATCCAGACCTGCTGGGACTCATCCGGGGGCCAGGCCACTTCCTGGATCTGAGGAGACCAGAATGGAATCAGGAAGAGGGACTGACCTCATCCCAAGGAGGAGGCTCTGACGGTCAGCAGGGACAGCCTTTCCTTTGTGTGTACCTCCGATTGTTCCAGACTGTCTGTCTCTGGAGTCCCGGGGGAGCTTTCTTACTGCTGTAATTTGATGGAATTCATTCACCTCATTGCGGGTGCCACAGAGCCCTGCCCTCTCCCGGGTGGTAGTTTTGAAGGAGGAGGTTTGTGTACCCTTAGTGTGACTTTGTCCCAGTCAGTTAGTTTGATACAGTGCACTGTAGAGGCCAGCTGATATGGAGGAAAGCCAGGCAGAAAGCTGGTAGCAGAACCTCCCCTCTTTATAAAAACATTGTTTCATTTTAAAATTGTGTCTGTGTATATGTGTGTACACACGCAGGCATATGCATGCCACAGCATTCATGTAGGGTCGGAGGACAACTTGTAGGAGAAGTGGTCGTCAGGGATCACTCAGTGGGCCCTTATCAATTGAACCACCTCACAAGATTCACTTCTTCATGTTCAACAGTTATCCTTTCTAATTCTCTTCGATAACAACAAAAAACAAAACTGGATGTTTTGGTTGCCTCACAGCAGCGAAAACAACCATAAACATTTGTGTTGCAACACATGGTTGATGTGACATTTGGGAGACCACGTTCCAATGTAGTTCTTAGTTTTGGGACATTAGGAGAAAGAAAATTAAAATATCAGACAAAAGAGGGGCTCTTGATGGGGGCTGGAGAGATGGCTCAGAGGTTAAGAGCACTGGCTGTTCTTCCAGAGGTCCTGAGTTCAATCCCCAGCAACCACATGGTGGTTCACAACCATCTGTAACGAGATGTGGTGCCCTCTTCTGGCAGAACACTGTATACTTAATAAATAAATTTAAAAAAAAATGAATTCTAAATTTATTCCCTACAGTATGTACCTTTCCCAGAGGGTCACGAGAGCTGGGTTCTCATTCCAGTATGGAGGTTCCTTAAAAAACTAAGGTAGAGAGATAGATCAGTGGTTAAAAACATTGGCTCCTCTTCCAGTGGTCTTGAGTTCAATTCCCAGCAACCACATGGTAGCTCACAACCATCTATAATGGGATCTGATGCCCTCTTCTGGTGCAAAGGTGTACATGCAAATAGGGTACTCATATGTAAAATAAATAAATCTTTAAAAAATAAAAAACTAAAAACAAAACTACTGTAAGACCAGTTATACCATGTCTAGGCATGAGACCAAAGGACTTTTACCCACACATCAGAGATATCTGCATGTCCACACTTACTCCAATATATGGGGTCATACTAAATGTCCATCACAGATGAATAGATACAGGATGAACTTTGGGCATTTACAGGAGAATAGAACCAGAGATCAACATGTTAAGCAAGAAAAGCCAGACCCGGGAAAATAAACATCACATTTTTCTCTCATGTGCAGAGCCTAGATTAATATAATGTCTGGGTGTGGTGCAGTGCATGTCTCTAACACCAGAGCTAAGGGAGCTGGGGGCAGGAGGATTGTGCCAGGTTTGCTTAGGGTACCGTTGTGAGATCGAGGGAGGCTGGGGCTGCATAACAAGAGCTTAAAGATTACAGCAACAAAGCAGAAAGGGATGGGCTGCTCGGTTTTTATGTAGCACACTGGGGTGATCTGGGAGAGGGGGCCTCAGTTAAAGAAGTGCCACTGTCCAGTTGGGGTAATGCCTCTGTCCATGTCTGGGGTAATTTCTCGGTTGATGATTGGTGTGGGAGTGCCCAGTGTTCCTTTGCTGTGTAAGAAAGCAGGTTGAGCCAGCCAGTAATCAGCATTCCTTCATTTCCTCCACTGGAGTCCTTGCCTGCAGGTTTCTCTCTCGAGTTCCTGCCTACCCTGGCTTCCCTCGGTGATGGAGTATAATCTAAGAGTTATGAGATGAAGTAAACCTGTTCCCCTTCCAGATGCTTTTGGCCACCATGTTTGTCGCAATAATAGAAAACACACAAGGATAGGTGGCTCTTCAGGTTGGGGAAGCCATGGAGAATTTGGAGTCGGGGTGAGGGGATTCAGTGCAATCAAAGTCACATTGTGGACATGTGAGAATGCCATAGTTAAAGGCATTTTGTACGATTAACCCATACTATTTATATATTAGGAGAGGTCATGGCTCTGAGTCTGGCCTTTGTCACCTGTCTTCTTTAATTTATGGCAGTTTCAGGGTTGGCTTATCCATAGACACTGTTGAAAATGATAACTGGAAGCTGGCAGGATGGGTCCATGCTTGGCTCCAGTATCCAACGAAACAACTCACATGCCTGTTTGTCTTTTTTATTTCAGTGGTTCGTTGTCGGAAAAGCGCTTTCTGTTTACCTCCACAGGTAAGGGTCGTTATTGCTTAACAGTCTTCTGTGGGAATTTAGTCCTGCAAAGCCCCCAGGTTATGTAGCTCAAGAATTTTCTATTTTGTTTTCTTTGTTTCCTTTGGTGGTGCTGGGTCTGATCTTTGCTAGGCATTTGACCTACTTCAAGTTGAAGATCATCCTCAGGTTTGTAGTCAGCCTGGACTATACGACACCCAGCCTAAAAAAACAGAGTAGTAAACATGTATATATGTAAACATGTATGTGCCCACACATAGTAATAAGCAGTAAGTATGTGTATGTACACAGACACAGTAATAAGAAGTAGCATGCTATACTATACATTTCTCATTTAACTTTGAATTATGGGTGTTTTCTAAATTACTGTATATGTATATGCCATTGATTAACCATTCCCTTCCACATTGTTAGATTTTTCTGCAGTTTTACTCTTATGAATGATAGCAGTAGGGCTTACCTGTATTTTTTTTTTTTACCTCTTCTTCATGAACTATACATTGCTACGTTGGTTGTTGGTTTTTTTTTTGAGGCAGGGTCTCATTATGTAACCTTAGGTGGCCTGGAATGTGATTTGTAGGCTGGCCTTGAACTCACAGAGATCTGCACCTTTGCCTCTCTGGTGCTGGGATCAAAGGCATGCACCACTATTTTTACTTCCCATTGTCCTTTAGTTTCTTCCCAAGGATCACAGAGAAAGGTGCAGAGTCATAGCCTACGTTTGTTTTTTTTTTTTTAACTTTTTTTTTATTGAGAAAAGGAGAAAAAAAAAACAAGTTTCCTCCTCCTCCCAGCCTCCCATTTCCCTCCCCCACCTCCCACCCTTCTCCCCCTCCTCCCACCCTTCTCCCCCTCCCCCCACTCCTCTCCCCCTCCCTCTCCAGTCCAAAGAGCAGTCAGGGTTCCCTGCCCTGTGGTAAGTCCTAGGTCCTCCCCCCTCCGTCCATTTCTAGGAAGGTGAACATCCAAACTGGCTAGGCTCCCACAAAGCCAGCACATTACGTAGGTTCAAAACCCCGTGCCATTGTCCTTGGCTTCTCATCAGCCCTCATTGTTTTTCAGTCACAGTCCAGCTAGCCTTGGTGAGCTCCCAATAGATCAGCCCCACTGTCTCAGTGGGTGGGTGCTCCCCTCGTGGTCCCGACTTCTTTGCTCATGTTCTCCCTCCTTCTGCTCCTCATTGGGACCTTGGGAGCTCAGTCCAGTGCTCCAGTGTGGGTCTCTGTCTCTGTCTCCATCCATCACCAGATGAAGGTTCTATGATGATCTGCACCTTTGCCTCTTAGGCTGGGATCAAAGGCATGCACCACTATTTTTACTTCCCATTGTCCTTTAGTTTCTTCCCAAGGATCACAGAGAAAGGTGCAGAGTCATAGCCTACGTTTGTTTACAGTGATAGGCAGGGGTCGGTTCCGGGGCAGGAGCGCCTCTTCATTTGAGGCACAGCAAGTGTAGTGGAGAACCTTGGTGTTTTCAGTTGCAGAGTAAAATGCTGCTTGAGGACATCAGACTGCATTTCCTCTTCAGCCACACCTCTGACAATGAGAGCCTTGGGGAGCCAACCCAGGCAAGGTAGCAGTTATCTGTCAACCTTCCTGGAGCTGTGGACACTGAGGGTGAGAGCTTTGCTGCCAACTCTGCATGCAGCCTCCTCCCTTCAGCTGTCTCCTCCGGATTCGGGGATTTAGCCTCAAGCCAGCAAGAAGCTCCAAGTCAAAGTGACGCCTTGGAGCACAGAAAGCTGCCCTTTTCAAGTGGAGGAACAATTTTATTTTTCTAGACTTGGCTCAGAGTTTACATCATCCCCGTTTACTTTGTAATGCCATAAAGGCCAAGCATGGTCATTTCTCCTGTGTGCAAAGCAGTTTTGTTTATTGAGTTTTGTCTATCTATCTATCTATCATCTATCTATCTATCTATCTATCTGAGGCAGGGTTCCTGTATGTATCCTTGACTGTCCTGAAGCTTAACATAGATCCTCTCCTGCCTCTGCCTCTTGAGTGCTGGGATTAAAGTTGTCCACCACTGCACCCAGCTCTGAAGCAGTTTCAGATTCTGAGTTTTGTTTATGGGTGATTGGTGTTGTAATGAAGTGACTTTCTCCTCTAGGAATGAATATTACAACCGTGGTTATCCCGTCAGTGGTCTTCATTGTCCTCCTCCTGGCTGGAATGGGTGTCTTTGCAGTCTTCAGAAAGTATGTGAATTTGCACGGTTTCATTTTTTTTCTCTCATTATATATGTACAGTTTATTAGCTGACTTTCCTCATCACTCTGACAAAAGTAACTTAAAAAAAAGGGAGGGATGGTTTTGGCTCACAGTTTGAGGGTACACAGTCTGTTATGCTGGGGAAGGCATGGCAGCAGGAGTGTGAAGTAGCTGGTCCCATCGCATCTACCACCAGGAATCAAAGAGATGGATGCTGCCTGCTGGCTCTTTTTTTTTTTTTTTTTAATCTGAGACCCCAGTGCATGGAATGGTACCATCTCCAATTAGAGTGGATCTTCCTATGTCAGTTAAACCTTTCTAGGCTCCTAGACACCCTCGTAGACAAAACCAGAGGTGTTTTTCCATGGCGCGTCTAAATCCCATCAAAGTTGATAATCCTAACACATTCACAAACTCCAAATGTTTGTGCCTCTGATAAATGTGTGTTAAAGAAGCAGTGTGACTTCTTTAGAGATGAAATGTTAGTTTCTATTTTAAAGTACGTTGGGTCCAGATGTTGATATAGAAATATCCAGCACTACTTTCTAAGCGGTTCTCATCACACAGAAACTTGACAAAGGCTTCCCACATGAGCGCTGCTAAAGTCCACATCTGGGAGCTGACATGCACCTTTTGAAGTCTCCCCTTTTCTCCCACCCATGGAGAGTGTGTTAGAAAGAGGATCTGGAGCCTGGGTTCACCTCCCACCCATGTCACCGAACAACCCATCATAGATCAAAGACCTTCACCATGACGGGTACCAGAACCCTTATACACCATTTTTAGTATTATAATACATGTTAGAAGTTGGATTTAAGCAAAAGTAGAAAGTATTCTCAAGTTCTCTTTTTACATTTTAAGCAGCATCAGAACTCATAAATATGAATATTAGTATGGGAGAATACTGAATCATCCTACACAGTTAATATAACTAATAATATTAATTGCTTTCAAAGGCACCTATAGTTTGTACTTTACAGAAAATAGTATATAAAGGTGATCATTACAAATTACTTAAGGATTTTATTAGTTTCCTGGGCCATTGAGAAAATCAAATAATAATACATTGCTTTCTAGCACACAAAATAAATTAGTATCAGTGAAAATATTGTGGGCTTCATTATAAGATATATTTACATATGATCATATATACATATATATGTGTATATATATATATATGACTTTGTAAGCATATGACAGCTTCTAGATCATTCAGTCCTCAGAAAAGCCTATGAGGTAAGTACCATTCTGTTATTCATATTATTTGAAAAGACAAGGTGGATAAGTTGGCTTCCAAATATTTAGGAGGACTTTTTGTCTTAATAGGAGGAAGAAAAAAGGAAATCCATATGTATCAGCCGAGGCTCAGAAAACAGGTTGGTTTAAAACTCCATCTGCATTTGATTCTGTCTTTAAGGAAAGGGACAATGTCTATCAATGCATTTGTAGGATTGATAATATAGCTTAGTAGTAGAGCGCTTGCATACCGTGTGCAAGGTCATGGGTTCAGTACCCAGTAAACCACTCTATCTATGGTTTGTGGTGTGGGCACTTTGTTCCAAGACCCAGTGGTTCCTCGAAACTGTAGATAGAATGAAATAATATATCTAGAGAAAGCTTCTACTGCATAGTTCTGGAAAAGTGTAGTTTATATATTAGATAGTGAGATTAGCAAACAGCTAGATAATAGTGGACTAGGTCAGCTATAATATAGTGAAATCGGATGGCAATGTCACCATTTTGCTTTGGTGCATCATAAAGTGAAGTGACCAAAGGAGAGGGGCTTAGTTCCTTTCCCTGTTGCTGTGATAAAATACTCGGAAAAAAGCTACTTAAGAGCCGGTCATGGTGGCACATGCTTTTATTCCCAGCACTTGGGAGGCAGAGGCAGGCGGATCTCTGTGAGTTTGAGGCTGCCTGGTCTACTACAAAGCCAGGACTACAGAGCCTAGGCAGTTTGGATGCTCACCTTACTAGACCTGGATGGAGGTGGGTGGTCCTTGGACTTCCCACAGGGCAGGGAACCCTGATTGCTCTTTGAGCTGATGAGGGAGGGGGACTTGATGGGGGGAGGGGGAGGGAAATGGGAGGCTGTGGTGGGGAGGAGGCAGAAATCTTTAATAAATAAATAAATTAATAAAAAAAAGAAAAAAAAAACAAAGCCAGGACTACAGAGAAACCATCTCAAAAAAAAAAAAAAAGCAGAAAGCATCTTGAGGAAGAGAAGTTGTTTATATTCACGGTTCAAGGCCCAATCCTTCCATCCTGGTCGGAAGAAGAGACAACAGGATTGAAGCAAACCACGGTGGTAAAACACAGAGAGATGTCATGCAATGCAAACTGCTGCCCAGTCCGGTGTCCTGACCCAACCCTCCTCCCTCTTCCCCCTCTCCCTCTCTCTCCCCTTCGTTTACAATTCAGGATCCCAGGCAGGAAATGGCCCCATCGTGCTGAGTGGGTATCTCCACCTCAGTTAATACAATCAAGATAATCCCCCTTCTAGACACCCATTTTCCAGGTGAATCTAGATTCTGTCAAGTTGACCGTCACAGGAGGGTAGCATAGAGAGCGTGGAGACAGCAGACAGGAGGGTGGTTCATAGTCCAGGCCGCACTGGGCAAGATTTCATTATTCTCCTAAGAACAGCGTGCCATTTAAGATGTGAATTACTTCTAGAATTCTTTCATTTAATACTTTTGGTTTGTGGTTCCTTTGTTTTTGGAAAATAAACAGTAGCTAAGATGAAACTACTATTTGGGTTTTTTTAAAGGTTAGTTTTATAACCTTTGAATTAGCAAAGCTACATGAAGAATTTTATTGTATGTAGTCTGTGTTCTGCCATCTTAGCGTATTTAGCATGCGTCCCATCCCACTTAAACTCTTCATTTGTGTATGTGTATGGGAAATTAGATTACTATACTGTCTGTCACCGAGGAGGAGTGACAGCAGTCCTGTCAGTGAACTGAGCCTGTGCTGGCCAGAGTTTGATCCCAGAGCCCACATAACGGTAGAAGAGACCTGACTCCAGAAAGTTGTCCTCCCAACTCTCCATATACCATTACATGGGCAGGCACACTCACACACATTATATACAGCGTCCAATAATAATCAGGACAATTAAAAAATAACATGCATGAAGCATTTTCAGACCTCTTTGCACAACTGAGGATTCAGCTATGGTACACAAGAACTCTACCATTGAGCTACAACACTAGTCATCTTTCCCGCCCCCTTTCATTTCTTATTTTAGATAGGATCTCGCTATGTTTCCAGTCTTAACTCACTTTGTAGCTCAGGCAGGTCTTGAACTTTTTTTCCCCCTTCCTGCCTGAGCCTCCTGAGTATCTTTTTCTTTTTTTCCGTTTATTTATTAAAAATTTCTGTCTCTTCCCCGCCACCTCCTCCCATTTCCCTCCCCCTCCCCCAATCAAGTTCCCCTCCTTTGTCAGCCCATAGAGCTATCAGGGTTCCCTGCCCAGTGGGAAATCCAAGGACCACCCACCTCCATCTAGGTCTAGTAAGGTGAGCATCCAAACTGCCTAGGCTCCCACAAAGCCAGTACGAGCAGTAGGATCAAAAACCCACTGCCATTGTTCTTGAGTTCTCAGTAGTCCTCATTGTCGGCTATGTTCAGCGAATCCGGTTTTATCCCAGGTTTTTTCAGACCCAGGCCAGCTGGCCTTGGTGAGTTCCCGATAGAACATCCCCATTGTCTCAGTGTGTGGGTGCACCCCTCGTGGTCCTGAGTTCCATGCTTGTACTCCCTCCTGAATATCTTAAGATTATAGGACTGTTGGGCTGGAGAGATGGCTCAGAGGTTAAGAGCGTTGCCTGCTCTTCCAAAGGTCCTGAGTTCAATTCCCAGCAACCACATGGTAGCTCACAACTATCTGTAATGGAGTCTTCTGGCTTGCAGGCATACACACAAACAGAATATTATATACATAATAAATAATAAAATATTTTTTTAAAAAAATTATAGGACTGTACAAACAGACCTGACATCTTCCAGTATTTCTTAGACCACAGCTAACTCACTGCTGTGTCTGCTTTTTGTGTCTTCCCTTGGTGGTTTTCTGTGTCCCTGAGATAATGTCTCAATGTAGCCGAGGCTTACCTTGAACTCACTATTAAATCTGGGCTGGTCTGGAGCTCCCAGCAATCCTTCTGCTGTGGCATTCTTGGTGCTGAGATTACGGGTAGATAACACTGACCTGTGCCCTAAGAATTCTCCAGAACAAACACATGATCCTTGCTTGATCCATTCCCGGAAAATACAGCGGAGGCCTGAAAATGTTGGAAAGAGGTCAAGTCTAAACAACAGCTGTGTTGTCCCCTCTGGGGTGTGGGTCTTAAGTGGAGGATGGAAATCTGGGCCCAGATGGTTCCAGAGCTTGGAGGCTACGCCCATTTTTTTAAAGTTAGTTATTTTATGTGTATGGGTATTTTGCCTGCCTGAATATATGTCAGTGTACTATGTCTGTGCCTGGTGCCCGTGGAGTCCACAAGAGGATGCTGGATTCTCTGAGTCTGGAGTTACACATGGCTGTGAGCTGCCACGTGTGTGCTAGCAATCAAAATGCAGTCCTGGAAGAGCAGCCTGTGCTCTTAACCAGTGAACCACCTTTCCAGTCCACGGGTACATTTAACACCAACCGTAGGAGCTGGGCATGGCGGTGCACACCTTTAATCCCAGCACTCAGGAGCCAGATCTCTGTGAGTTCAAACCTGGTCTACATAATGAGTTTCAGGACAGCCAGGGCTATGTAAAGAGACCCTAGTTCAAGAAAATAAACAAAGCCATCAGTGGGCAATGTGCGTATTGATGGGTTTGTGTCATCATACTGACCGAGAGGCTTATCAACATCCTGCAAGAGACTGACTTCTGTCTGACACCTGGAGGAACACGTAGAGTGTGAGAATTAGATGCCTGATGCATCGTTTCCTATTCTCTTTCTTTCAGGCTGTTGGAAGCAGATTAAATATCCCTTTGCTAGGCATCAGTCAACTGAATTTACCATCAGCTATGACAATGAGAAGGAGATGACACAGAAGCTGGATCTTATCACTAGTGATATGGCAGGTGAGTGTTATCCCCAGGGACCGTGCTCTTCGGAGGTTCTGCTATGGGAGACAAGGAATGGGACAGCGCTAAGGCTAAGATCCCTCATAGCATTCTGTACTCTGCAGAGTTTCAAGCTGACACTAAGCTATTGGTTGATAGCTCCTTCAGGTGAGGCGGGTACACCTGCAGGGCACACAATGGCACAAATGGTCAGAGGCCCACAGCACTGCTAGTCTCTAGAAGCTAATCTGTATTCTCCCGCCAGGCTTTTATTAAAGAACTGGGAAAGAGGGTCAAGAAAGGCTAACTGAATGATGACTTAATACATCTTCTGCTGCTGAGCAGAGGGAGCTGCGTTAAGGGATCTGTCGGTCAGAACAGCTCAGTGTCTCTGAGAGAGCATCACTACGTCCTGTCTTCCAGTTTTATTTCTGGACTGTTAATCTTCTTCAGCTTGCCCCCAAAGGTCCTTCGGGCTGCTAGTGTGTGGGCTCTGAGTGAGACCCCACATCTGAGGTCTCACACATTGAGCCCCTGTGATCTGACACCTTCAAGTCCTGACTCTACTGCTGTTGCTGTGTGAGTTGAGAAAAGTCACTTTGTTTTCCTCTGCTCTTTTTCCTGTTTTTTATTTTTTATCTTTTTATTTTTGAGATAGGGTTTCTCCATAGCTTTTTGGTTCCTGTCCTGGAACTAGCTCTTGTAGACCAGGCTGGCCTCGAACTCCCAGAGATCCGCCTGGCTCTGCCTCCCGAGTGCTGGGATTAAAGGCGTGCGCCACCACCGCCCGGCTTCTTTTTCCTGTTCCTAACGTGGAACAAATTCTAAAAAGACTTGACTTATTTCACTATCTTAGAAGACTCTTTCCATCTCCTTTATATAGGCTGTCAGCAGAGAGTATGGCCCTGATTATAGGTGGATCTTCCCACTTTAAAGATCCAGATTAGAAGTGGGTCTTTACACTTCAAATGATTTAATCAAGAGGGAAAAAAAAGTCCTTCACAGAGATTCACCTCAAGTAAATAAGTAAAAGTCACCCCTAAACTGGAGATGAAGTTGTACACCTGTAAGCCCAGAACACCAGAGGGTGAGTCAAAAGGATCACAAGTTCAAGTCTAGGTGGGGTTACAGAACAAGACCCTGTCTATAAATGCATAAGTAAATGCCTCTCCTCTACAGAACATTTTCCCCCTAACCAAATGTCTACTGTCTCTATGGTTCCGTGGCCCTTTGTGGCTTCCGGAAACAGGCAGTATTATGGCGGTTTAAGCCCCAGCAGCAGCATCTGACTTGCGTTTCCTATTTCCCGGTGGAGAGCCGTGTGGAAGGGAAAGTACGTTCTGCGACTCTTTCACGCGCACCCTCATGTCTGCAGGTGCACTAATGATGCTCCTTTGCTTTCAGATTATCAGCAGCCTCTCATGATTGGCACCGGAACAGTCACGAGAAAGGGCTCTACCTTCCGGCCCATGGACACAGACACTGAGGAGGCCAAGGTGAGCAGTGAGGCCGGTGGCCACTATGACTGTCCTCAACGCCTGGGCCGCCATGAGTACGCATTGCCCTTGACGCACTCTGAGCCAGAGTACGCCACGCCCATCGTGGAGCGGCACCTGCTACGAGCCCACACCTTCTCCACGCAGGATGGCTACCGAGTGCCTGGGTTTAGGCCCACTCACAAACACTCCCTTTCTTCCGGAGGGTATCCCCCTGCTGCAGGAGCCACCCAGAGTGAGGGCTATCAGAGGCCAGCAAGCCCCAAGCCTGTGGGTGGTGCCTACGACAAGCCTGCAGCCAGTAGCTTCTTGGACAGCGGAGACCCCGCTCCTCAGTTGCAGATGACTCCTGGGGCGACTGATGGTTATTCAGCACCCAGAAACGGTCTTGCACCCCTCAACCAGATGGCCGTGACTGCTCTTTTGTGAACCTAATGTGAAAGAACCTGCTGTGGTACTGAGCGAGCTCTGCTGCAAGTCACTGGAGAAGTGCGCGCATGCCTGTGTGACTCTTCGGGATCCTAGAGACAACCTCACTTACTGTTTACAGAACTGTGCAGCTGGTTTTGTTCCGACCCTTCCAGCAGAGCCGGTTGGTTTCTGGATTGCTAGAATAAAGAGACTTCTCATTTCTCCAACTGTGATGCTGTGCTGTAACATGTGCAATTTGTATAGTTGTATTTAACATGAATTAAAGTAATGAAGTTTGTGGTGTTTGTTTTCTACATAGGGGCTAAGGTGAAAGCTCGGAATTTGCAGAGATGCGTAATATATGTGCCTGTTTCTCAGTGTGTTTGGTTATCTGACACTGTTAGCTGGAGGTCTGTTTTAAAAACCCTGTCTGGTTGTGGTGGCTCATTTCATTCTTGATAAACTAAAAGCATTTTTTTTTTAAAAAAAAAAAATTCTTTCTCCTGAAAGAAATGAAATTACTTGAAAAGCACACAGGGGTGGGGTGATTGTTAGCTATCATGGCCGTAGATTTATGCGAGCAAGCACACCTCTACAGCACCTGCTGCCTGCTGAGTGAGTGAGGGCAGCTCAGTGTCCTGGGTCTGTGTGGGACCCAGCTGCACCCTGAGGAACCCCATTCTCTAAGGCAATGGCTTGGCCTTATTAAAGCACAGTGTTCACAAGCAAATCTGCCTTCCCAGGTGCTGAGACTGAAGGCAGCCCACACTTTCTCTCCACAACTTGTAATGAAGGTAGCCGAGCGACTGTAGCTCGGGGGACTGTCAGGTATTCCTAAACCCCAGCTTAAAAAATGTAGCTAAGCTCAGAAGGCCTACTTCTCATAGCTTTCCCCAGAAATAGTGCATGTTGGTGACTTCCATTATCCCTGGAAAACTAGCAGACATTTGAAATGTGTTCTTCCGCGTGTCTGAGTAGAGCTTTTCCAGGGGAGAACTGGTAGCTGAACTGGCGGTGTGAAAAGCTCTTTTCTCCTCCATATGTGATTATACTCATATAGAGTAGCCCCGGTCTCGGCTGGACCTCGTCCTCAGTGATGTTTTCCCTGAGTTTGCTTTGTGAATTAACTGGGGGAATTGAACCTCTTTTGCCAAAGAGGGAAAAAAAGTATGTGTTTTGTTTGTTAATAGAAAATATGGACCAAAAAAGCAATCCTCTCCTTAAAAACTGTAACCGTCTTTGTGCGAGTGTTGTTTTCTGTGAATCAGATCTGTGTTAAAATGGGGTGCTGAAAGGTCATGGCGACTGGTGGGTTATAGTGGAGGATAAACCATTTACTTTATGGAGTTTACATGATTTTGTGTGTATCCTAATTGTAATAAACTATGCCAAATCAGAGCCCCTGAACTCTCATTGGGCCCCTGCTTGTTGGGCTAGCGAGAGGCTCACCCTGGAGCTGAATTCCCATAAGGCAGTTTGCAACTTTTTTAACTTCAGGCTCTAATATAGCCCAGGATGGCTGTCAACTCTCCGTGTAGCTTTGGATGACCTTGAATTTCTGATCCTGCTGCCTTTGCTGGAATTACAGATGGGCACCGGCACCTCTGGTTTCCCTTTCTGTCCTGTTAGAGGCTTTAGTTACACTGTCTAGTTAAATAGAATCAGAGCATCTAGTTCTTGGTGCCCGGTCACCTGGGTGATGATTGCATTTCCTATTTGTAGAAACTGATTTAAACTGTGCCAGGGACAACTTACGATGTCAAAGGACCACCCTCCAGTCACACTAATGCCACTTAGGACACACACTCCATGAAGAGTCACAGGCATTTGTTTACACACACAGACCCACCCCACCCCCACCCCCACCCCCACGCTGGCTTGTGTTCACCTCCAGTCACCTGTCTGTTTGGCTCACGGCATACATCCTCTACCTTGGAATTCTCTATTTTCATCTTATTTTTAATGTTTTTGTGCAGGTGTATGCTATGTTTAACATAGTCTACCCCCCCCTTTCTCTTTTCTATCCCCATCCCTTATCCCCCTTGTGACCCCAGACATTTTCATTTCTTCTGTTTTACATACACAGGCTTCATATAACATCAAAATTAGGTGACCACATAAAATCTACAGACATCAGTCATGGTAGCGCATGACTGTTTTTTTTTTTTTTTTTTTTTTTTTTTTGGAGACAAGGTTTCCCTGTGTAGCCCTGGCTGTCCTGGAACTCGATCTGTAGACCAGTCTGGTGGCACATGGTTTTAATTCCAATACTTGGAAGGCAGAGGCAGGCCTGGTCTACTAAGCAAGTTCCAGGTCCACCAAAACCCTGTCTCAAAAAACAACCAATTTCCCAGCACTCGGGAGGCAGAGATAGGTGGATCTCTGTGAGTTCAAGACCAGCCTGGTCTACAAGAGCTAGTTCCAGGACAGGCTCCAAAACCTCAGAGAAACCCTGTCTCGAAAAACCAAAAAAAACAAAAAACAAAAAAAAACCAACAACAACAACAAAAAAAAACAACCAATTAAAATCTGGGAGCCACAAACAAAACATGCCAATTCCCACCACCCACATGGCAGCTCACAGCCATCTGTAACTCCAGTTCCAGGGGATCTGACACCCTCACTCAAACATCTATCCATGCAGGCAAAACACCAATGCACATAAAAACAGATTATTACAAATGCCTTATTTATTGGAGACTGTCTTAATTTATTTATTATATTCACTAAATTCTGTTTGGGAGAGGCAGACTGAACTCCAGAATTTCTTCTCCTTCAGCCAGACTGCCTCATGAATTAAATTCTCTAAACTTGAGTTCACTGAGCTGTGAATGACATGTCCTCAACGTACCAGTGCAATGGGAAGAATGGATAGGAAGAGACGTTCAAACAGCTCCTTGTTCAAGGTTTGGGCCCCACCTGGTAGGTCTGATCATTGAGAGATGATCAGATCACCTCATTAGATCATCCCTTACTGGAATCATAACTGAGAACATTAGGAGGGAATGGACACCAGGAAATGGGCTAAGACTGGACAAAGGAAGTCTCCCTAAGACATACCCAGTGGAGGATTTATTTTACTTCTTCCCATGTTGTCTCCTTCCTGGCTGCTTGACTCAGCTGAGCAGTCTCCTCTGCTGAGGTCTCCTTCAAGCTTCATCTCAGACCCACAGTGTTGGAGCCAACAATCTTGAACTGAAACCATGAGCAGAAATAAATCCTTAAAGCATCGTTTCCTCTCACAAGCTTTTCATGGTGCCGAATACAGCTGGCTCACACAGCTCACACTGTAGCATTTCATCCTTGGCAGGTAGGTGGTGGTGGAGCCCAGGGAGGTAGCATCACCAAAAGAGACTGCAACTTTATCACCATAGTTACTCTGGCTTTCTTGCCAGATCTCTGTCCCAAAAGTTTAGTAAAGTGGAGCAATGAAACTCACTAAACACAGGAGATAACCTATTGTGGAAGGAATGGCTAAGACCTGATACAAAGTCTTATATCTTATGCTTATAGCATATACTCTTGTAGGAAAGGGACTTCATGGGACTATAAAAATATATTGTTCAAAATGGGCAAATTTTCATATAAAACCTCCTGGTGTCTCAAGTTAAAATTATTATTTTATGTTCATGAGTGTTCTGTCTGCATGCATGTGTATCACATGCATGCAATGCCTCCAGAGGCCCAAAGAGGGAACTGGAGTTATATAGTTACAGACCATTGTGCTCTACCTTCTTAACTTTTTACTTAAATATTAATTGATTTTGGTAGGACAGGGTATCTCCATGTAGCCCTAGCTGTCCTGGAGTTCTTGACGTAGACCAGGCTAGCCTCAAACTCACAAAGATGTATCTGCCTGCCTCTGCTTCCTGAGTGCTGGGATTAAAGGTGTGTACCTCTATGCCTGGCTAACTCTTTACCTTTGAAAGACTGTCCAGTATTAGAGACCTCTGCAGAGAAAGAATGGCAATTAAACTTTATCTACAAACCTTGACAGCCAGGTGCATATGTTCACAGAGTTTACAGACAATTTCCTAGAATAGAGGGAAGCCTCCTCACTACAACAGAAAAGGTCACAAAAGTTCCCAGTGTCTGCTAGAAATTATCCCTATGTTAGGACTCCCGAAATCTTTCCAAAGTCATACAGGGCCTTCTTCTGTTGCAAAGGTGACTTGAACCCTCTTCCCCTTAAAATTAATGACAAGCTATATTCCACCTGCCATCTCTAGCTCTTAGGGAAAACAGAAAAAGGCCATGGTGGTGTAAGTCTTTAATCTCAGTATTTGGGAGGCAGAGCCAAATGGGTCTCTGAGTTTGAGGCCAGCCTGGTCTATAGAGCAATTTTCAGGACAGCCAAGACTACACAGAGAAACCCTGCCTCCAAAACAAAACAAAAAAGGTTTTTTATATTATTTTTATTTTATTGAGTTAGACCCTGATATACCACAAGATGTCTTGGTGTAGACTCAGTGTAGTTGAGGTTAACCTTGAACTTGTGATGCCCTGCCCCTGCCTCCCATGAGAGGACGGGCACATATGACCACAGTCTGCCTTTAAGTGTGGTTGGATTTGTAGTCACTGGAATGAAAGCTCCCTCACTCTGCTATTACCAACTCTTAATGATCTATGCTAAATGAGTGCCCTGACTTTCACAGAGGCCTGGTGTAGGAGGTTCTTCTGTTTATGTGTTGCTTTCATTGGCTGAATAAAGAAACTGCCTTGGCCTTTTGATAGGGCAGACTTAGATTGGCAGTGTAGACCGAACAGAATGCTGGGAAGGAGGTAAGTGTGGAAGACACCATGAATCTGAGACAGACGTAGGTTAGAATCTTGCGGGTAAGCCACATCACATGGTGATAGACAGATTTAATAGAAATGTGTTAATCAAGATGTGAGAGTTAGCCAAGAAAAGGCTAGAGCTAATGGGCCAGGCAGTAATTTAATTAATACAATTTCTGTGTGGTTATTTCAGGGGTTAAGGTAGCCGGGAGGTGGGATGCGGCCCCCTCCTCTTACTACAGAGGCCCATCTAACTTGGCTGGAAGGCTTGTCTTCAAACCACATTTCTGAAATACAAAGAACCAGGGCTGGAGAGATGGCTCAGCAGTTAAGAGCACTGATTGCTCTTCCAGAGGATCCCCATTTTAATTCCCAGCACCCACATGGCAGCTCACAACTGTCTGTTAACTCCAGTTCCAGGGGACCCAACACCCTCACAGACACACATACATGCGGGCAAAATGCCAATGCATATAAAGTAAAAATAAACGATTTAAAAACAACATTAACAAAACAGAAGAACCTTGCTTTGTGTGCTAGCTTAAAAAACTTTATCCACTACAGGGGGTAAAGGCACTTGCCATCAAGCCTGAAAACCCAAATTCAACCCCCAAGTCCCACACGACGAAAGAGAGAACAGACTACCTGCAAGTTATTCTGCAACCACCATACATGCACCATGCCTCTTCCTCCACAAAAC